CACTCGCAAACAAATTCTTAAAGGGCTTTACCCATGAACGATAGATTTTATTTATCAAGATTTAATATTTTTATATAATTTGTTATAGAAAAACAATCGTTAGCTGATAAAGCTATAAATAATGCTTGTTATCTACTTTCTGTTGGCGGTAGTCTGATAGCTCGCTATATATTTTACATAGTGATTACATGACCTGCCTACAGTCAGGCAGAACTTACCCCTTAAAGAGCTCTGCAACCATAAATGGTCATTCTTACCATATCATATTATCACGTCTGTATGCTAGGTATGCCTATTTAATGCCAATAACATTTATTTGCTGTTGACATAGCAGCCGTGAAAGATTTCAGTAAGGCATGAATGGGTTAGGGTATTTTTAAGTGAGTTATCACTGTTGTTCTCTCATTCACATTATCACAACATGCGCCACGCTCTCATTCGCCTACAACTGTCCGTCAGCTGATAAGCCAACCCATGCCAACTAAAGCTAACAACAGAGAGAGCTTTTCGACTAGCGTCGCGGGCACGTGAGCTGCCGCCAACTGGGGAGCTTTACTCTTGCTCTCGCTCTCGCTCGCACTCCGCACTTGTCAGCTTAACGCAACAGCCGCTAGCGCTCAGCTGCTCGGTGCTTATTAAGTATTTTATTTTTTGTGACCACAACAGTCAGGTGACTTGAAAAAATAAGCAAACTTACATTGAAATAAAATGGGAACAGGCAAGAAGAACTACCAGGCACCGGAGTGGCTCACCGCGGAGTTTCTGCAAGATGTGCTGAAGGAGCACTTTAAAGAGGAATCGCTCATCGTCGCCGATTTGCTGGTGAAGAGCGCCCAAGTGGGCGATGTGGTGGCGGGCTTTGCCAGCGAAATGCATCGCGCCTGCTTCAATCTGCAGCGTGGCAATGTGAAGAGTAAATTCTCCGTCTTCGTCAAGGACCACCCGAAGGGCCAGACAGGAGCTATTGCGCTGCGCAGCAAGCTCTTCAAGCGCGAAATACTAACCTATAAGGAAGTGCTGCCCCGCGTCCAAGCGCTACTCGAATCGATTGGCGACAAGACGCAAATAGCACCCGCCTGCTACTACACGACCGAGACTCCGGAGCCCTTCCTCATCTTGGAGGATATGCAGCTGAGTGGATTTGAGAACTTCGAACGGGGGCGACTGCTCAACCTGGACTACGTCCTGCCCAGCGTGGAGAAACTGGCCAAGTTGCACGCCTGCAGCGCTGTCATAGCCAAGCAGAATCCCGAGGTATTGCAGTTCTTCGACGAGGCGCCCATTTCCCGCAATCCGGATCGTCGCGATTTCCTTAGCTTCTTTCCGGTGAACATACGCTGCGTGGCTGAGGAAGTCGCCCACTGGAAGGGCTATGAAGAGATCACCGAGAAAATGTTTAAGCTGGCCGAAAATGTGCTCCAGAGCGCCGTCCGCATGTACGATGAGCAAGACAAGGGGTTCAAAGTGTTCAACATGGCGGATATATGGATCAACAATCTTATGTTTCATATCAACAATGAAACCAAGGAGCCCGATAATGTTGTTGCTGTAAGTTCGTTGAATTATTTTCATTCCCTCTGCGTATTCGAAGTGTCTAAAGTAGAGTACATACGCGTCATTGACTCGGGTAACGTATTACCTGATTTCGGGTACCTATATCCCATTTATCTTTGATAACAATTTCGTATTTTATTTAAAGTATTTTAGATTCTCATTAAAATTGGTTTTTCTATATCATATTTTCTAGCTAGGCTTCTTTTTCTTATTAAAATATATTTGAACTTGTATGTGCTTAGAGTGTTTCCTAGTCGCTCATGGCCTACCAGTTTCGCTTAATCATTCTTTTTATGTATGAATTCTCTTGCAGGTCGATTTCCAACTGGCCTATGTGGGCTCACCAGCTGTCGATCTGAACTATTTTCTCTATGGTTCTCTCAACGAGAATGTGCGCAAGGTGCACTTCAAGTATATAATACACGAATATCAACGCGTACTACGGGAAACACTGGAGAAACTCAAGTACGACGGACACATTCCAACACTTAAAGAGATACATATTGAGCTAATCAATAATAGCCTGATTGGTGAGTTTCAAATTAATATTTACGAAGAAGCAAGAGGTATATATGTACTTTATCTATCTATAGGTGTCATTGCTGCCACTTGTCTTACACCTCTGATATTCAGGGAAGATGGTGGATTTGAAAATCTGGAGGATTTGAATTCACGCACCGAGATCGGAGATAATTTCCGACGCGAGAACGTTGAGAATCCCAAGTATCGCGCATTTTTACAACGCACAGTCAAGGAGTTTGAGTTAAACGGCTTTTTGGATACGTAACTCTCTTCAATACATGAACAATTGTGAACAGAGCTTCCAGTAGTCTACATTGTGTACAAAATAGTATTTAATAACATCAAGATGTATTAACAGATCACACACACAGTATGTAATATCAAAACTACCTGAAAACTAAATAATATATATATTATATATAAACATATTTCCAATAGTGTTATATATAAATCACAATATTAACATTTGAAAAGAAAATAATTTCATTGCTTTATTAAGTCCTCTATAACTTTAAATGCATAATTCACGCTTTGTTGATAATCTGATATCATAGCCTTTACGCAAAGTAACCCTGCTCCTCATATCTGGCCAATAGAAACTCAATATCTTTGATATAGTTTTCTAAGCGGTACAAGGGCTTCCGTGCGTCTTCGCTTTGCATCAGTTCAGCGGGATCGAAGTCCTTTAGCTGAAGACAACCCATCATAGGCAAAAAAGTTGATATCAGAAAGAAATCTAAAAAAAAGTTTTACACTGCAAGCTGTTTAAAGCTCTTAAATATATAACATTTGCAATAAATACTTACCATAGATCTTGTGCTGGGAGATTATCTTCCAAAACTCCATCAAACTGGGAAATTCGCCTTTATAGCCAATTTTCTGCAATGTTACGAGAAACTCGGAAAAATAATAGTCGAGCAGTTCTTTGTAGTTATTGTGTCGCTCTTCGGGGCCCATCAGCATATAGACAGAATATATAATGTCAGTGGTTACGGGGCAGATATTACTAATTTGGAAGTCCAGTAGCATAACATCCTCCACGCCGCCATCTTCGTTGTGCTTGAACATCATATTGCGAGCATGAAAGTCGCAATGGCCGAGCACGTAGAACCCATTGGGCTTCCGGCTTTCGTAATACTCCTGCATTATCGCTCGCATTTGCTGCACATAATCAGCTTTTATCTTACTGAAATAAGGAACATACTTTCGGAGTTCGGGAACTTCCTCAAGCAATCCAATGAATGTGCCCATGCCAGAGTTAAAATAAGCATCTTTCAAAACGGAATGCATGCTAAACAGACCGTACTTGAATTCTTGCAGAAAATCCGGTTGCTGAAAGTGTTTGAGTCAAACACATATATCATGCAGTAATTAATTACCTAAATTATTTACCTCGTTCAGCACTTTGAAGCTGCATGCGTGCCATTTGGCTAATTTCTGAAAAGCGATCCTCAGCTCAGGGACGGTTGGATTACGACTTCGAACGACCCTATAGCCCTGCGGCACCAAATCTTCAAAGATCATAACCTGGCGCGGCTCCAAGCTGTGATAGATGCAGGGAACAAACAGTTTTGTATTATCGCCGACTACGCGAAGCATTTCCTCGAACTTGGGCAATGCCTTAGTATACATGCCGATCTCGGTGACAAAGATGTTCGAGCTACCGACCATATCTTTCTTGTGCCCCTCCTGGTCGGGCATTGTCTTGATGATAAGCGACTTGGAGTGATCTCCCGCCTTTGTGGTGTACGAGACATTTGCCCGAAACAGCGCTTCCACATAAAATTCAACTATTTAAGTGAATTTTCATTGGAAAGCTTTCAAAAGCTTTGGCGATGTAATTAATATTATCAGATCTCGCATAACAACAAATTGAACATTTATTTTGGGAGTATTTAAATGCCTTTTACGGAGAGAAAATATAAAAATATTTTTTTTTTTTTTTTTTTATTGATTTCAGTCTATCAATATCTAGCTGTTCGTGCCCCTCCTTTCACTAATTTCTCTTCATCTTTCCCCGAACATTTTATAAAAGTCTGTAATATTCCTTTAAAATAAATAAATGGAGTAATTATTAGTAAAGTTTGGGAAATCCATATATACAAATATTATTATAAATACCAGAATACCATTAATTATATTATCCTGAGTTCATCGCAATAATGCATTAAAAATTTGTTTACATCGCTAATGTGAAAAGTAACTCATGAGAGGCATTCAATTTCGGGTCTACGTTGAGTGCAACTCTCTCGTCCATTAAACTTTAATCAAATGCAATTAAAATAATCGGATTTTTTAATATTTAATTATAGTATATTTACTTTTAATAACAACTAAATCAAGTTATGACAATTATTATTATGATGATGTTAATGTTCATTTAATGGTACTGTTAATGTTATGGACAATGGCAATGATCATTAGGATAATGCGATGATGATAATAAGACTGCTACTGTTACTGCTATATATAGTATTATTGATACGAAATTCTAATACTCATACTGGTACTTTTACTATTATTCATACTGATCGAAATACTGATACTATGAGTCATTCAGATTCCAATACTCATACTGATACTAATACCAATACCAATTGTGATAATGATACCGTTGACGAGTATCGTTCAGTCTCGTATCTTAATGCCAATACCAACACTAATAGTGATATTTATATAGATTTGAATATAATCAAAACAACTTGAACTTTTCTATTTACTCACAATATTTAATATCATATAATTTGCATACAATTTGCCAATTAATACAATCTTAAATACGTGGGTTCTAGAAGAAGCCTTCCGCCTCAAATCTGGCCAACAAATACTTAACATCCCGAACGTACGAATCTAAGCAGTGCATTCCTTTTTGTACGTCTTCCTTTTGAAAGACATCTGCAGGATCAAAGTCATAGACGTTAAAGGCATTCATCATTGGCAAAAATGTAGGTATCAAATATATATCGGAAATTTTCCAAAGTAAATAATATATCTAAATAGGAATCTTCTATTCATGACTTACCATAGCAATTGTTTTGGATGACTTGCTGCCAGAACTCCACCGAGTTGGGCAATTCGCCTTTATATCCAATATTTTGAAATGTTGCGAGAAACTCGGCGAGATAATATTTTATAAGTTCTTTATAGTTATTATGGCGATCTTCAATGCCAATCAGCATATATACGGCGTATAGCAGGTCCATGGTTATGGGGCAAATGTTGCTTACTTGGTAGTCCAACAACATAACATCTTTCAAAGATCCATCTTCTCCCTGCTTAAACATCATGTTCTTCAAATAAAAGTCACCATGACAGATTACATAATATCCATTTGGCTTGCGATTCCTACAATACTCCTGCATTACAATTCCCACTCGATCAATGTAATCATTTTCCATCTTTTCGAAGTACGGCTTATACTTTCTCAACTCTGGGAACTCTTCCAGGAAATCAAGGAACTTTTTCATGCCTGTAGTGCAAAAGGGGTCTTGGCGTATATTTGGTATTTCGAAGAGACCGTATGCTTATGTATGAAAATAAAATGAAAATTGACATTAAATATATGTACGTATGTTAGTTATTTCCATCCAGTACATACCTCGTGCAGAACATAGAAGCTAACCGCATGCAGCTTGGCCATCACCCGCCTCCCATAGAATCTGCTCGAACGTGGACTTTTGTGTACATGCCAATCTCTGTTTCAAAAAGATGAGAACCACTCAGCAATTCCTTTTTATGTCCCTCTTGATCGGACATCGTCTTGATGATTAGCGATTTTGATTGCTTTCCACCTGTGTTGGTATACGAAACATAATGCTCGCATAGTGATCGCTCTTGGTACTGGCTGGCGAGATTTTAACATCCAACACTTTTAGTTCTGGTATGCATTCATGTTTTTTAAGTACTTCCTCAACAAACTGCGCATTGAGCCAGGCGGGTGCAACCAACTCGTCAGCATTTACGCTTTCCATAGTTTTGCTATCAACATTTACTGATGAAACGTTGTTTAAGACTAAACTGAATACTGTTCGCTCAGCTACATAAGTCTCGTGCTCTCGAAAGCTTTTCAAACTGCCCAAAAGCACCTGAAACAAGAATCAAAAACAAAATTTGCACAATGGCTCTTCAGATAGACTTAACCATTTGATAGTTTTTTTATGGCTATCAAAAATTATCTATGGTACTGCTAAAATATGTGCTAAAATTAACATCGTACAATCTCGAATGAAAATAACTTAATCATAATCATCATAATCATCAACTAGTACCTCCCAACTCGTTTCGAGCTGTCATGTAATTACATAGAATAGGCAAAACAGGTACACTCTAAAATTATTTTAGGACGGGCGGACAAATGGATGATAATAGCATCAGCGTGATCAGGAATATATATCATAAGTCGGGTCTGACACGCGTCCTTTTGCCTGTTACGTACATTTTCACATCACCGTAATACCCTATCCCATTTTGAAGAGGTTCAGGGCATAGACTAAAAGTTACTGTCTCATGCCTACGCAGCGATTATTATAGAACCAAGTCGGTTGGAAAGCTCGCAAAGCTTTCAAGTCAAGTTGTATAAAAATGATAATGCAATCAACTCGTTAGTAGTTTGATTTCAGAAAAGCATCTGAGATGTCGGCTAATAATGGGTCCTACAATTCGGATGAGTTGGATGCTCCCGAATGGCTAAGTCCGCAGTTCATGAAAGAAGTCCTGGATGAACATCTGAAGCTCCCGGATCTCAAAGTAATTGATGCCAAGTTCACTCCGGCTAGTGCGAAGGGAGATCATTATGCCAGTGTGATGTTTCGAGCTGTTGTTGAATATGAAACGACGGGGAGTACAGGTTCTTCCACAATTTCTCTTATCATCAAGACAATGCCCGAAGCAGATGGTTTAAAGAAAGATATGCTAAGCGAATCGCATGTTTTTAAGACGGAGATCGCAATGTACACTGAGGTGCTGCCTAAGTTTGAGAAGATTTTGCGCGAGGCTGGAGATGAGATCACATTTTGTACACCTTGCATCTATCATAGATTAAAGCCCCGTCAGATTATGGTCTTTGAAGATCTGTTGCCTAAGGGATACTCTGTGTTACGAAGAGATGCCAACGTTGAGGAGCTCCAGGTAGCACTGTCAAAGCTGGCCAAGTGGCACGCCGTCAGCTTCAAACTGCTCAAGGAGAACCCGGAACAATTTGATCATTTGAAATATGACTTGACTACAATACCAAACATGATGGAACAGGAATTCATGACCAAATCCTTGGAGAACTTTCTAAACATGCTGGGCGTTGAAGAGAGTTTGAAACCCTTTCAAAAATACTTCGAGCCGATGCGCGGGAAGTTAAACAAACGTTATGTAGATGCGGTGAGAGAATATCGTGAAAATCGCCAAGCTGATACGTACTATGTTGTTTGCCATGGAGACTTCCACCTTCGTAACCTGATGTTCAGGGGACTCGATTGTATGCTATTGGATTTCCAGATGTCCCATGTGGGATCTATGATATATGATATAACGTACGCCATTTACATGCTTTTTGACGGCGAGGTACAACGAAATAATAAGGACGAGCTTATCTACTACTACTTCCAAACCTTTTTGAAAACCTTACAAAAAATTGGTTATATGGATAAGTTGCCCAGTTTAATAGAATTTCGTCGGCAAATGTTTAAGAACCGTTCTTTGGGTGAGTTCTGCAGAAATCCGTAAAAATCCGCTATAATGTAGTATATTATTATATTTATATATAATTTTCTAGACTTTCTCATGCTGACTGCCTTTCAACCTATAATTATGCATATGCGCAAAGGTGGCGATGCAGGAGAAATTGTAGAGGACGAAAAATCGACTATTCAGATATACCACCAAAAGGAATACATTGATAATCTGAAGATTCTACTCCCTCGTATGCTGCATTTGGGTTACTTTGAGTCACTTGACATGTGAATGCATACTAATATATTTATGTATATGTATGTATATGTTACTTATACATACATGCATATCTCAGTCCACTGATCAGATGTTTGATGAATTGAAATTAATTAATTAACTATCGAATGAGATCGGCTATCGACTAAGAGCATTGTGAAGAGAGAAAGTTAAACAAAAGAAATACTTATAATTAGTGTTAGTTAAATTGCATTTTAATTAAAGTAATTTAACTGTGTAAAGAATAGAAGCGTGAACATTTAATTGTTAATTTTGTTATTGTTGGCTTGTAACCACATATAATTATTTTCTCATTGTAATAAAAAACTCTAATTTTAGACAAATAGAATTGTGTTTTTGCTCCCAGAGAACCTCATCAGTTAATATACATATGCATATATACCTGACTTGAATTCTATTTGATGTTTTTCTATTGTTTTTTTTTTTTTTATTTTTTTTTTTTTTACCTTGAGCTATGCATATTTAAACGTGTTGAGCATTATAATATACGCATATAAAGCAAAAATATGTTAAGCTTATTTATTTATAATTTATTAATAAATGTTGTTAGAAATGTGGGATAACTTCAGTTTAGCTTTTTGATCTTATCTATATATTTCTGATACCAGTTATCTGTAGGTACACATTCGACTATTATCAGTTTCATTATAGGACTTACTTTAACGATGTAATTCTAAAAGATATTTATATAATTTGGGTTTACAGTATGATAAACATTTATTAATTAAATGACTGAAAAGGGTACAGTTTGTAGATTTGCAACGCTGCATTGGCATTGTCTATATAATTTGAATGCCCTTTAAAGGTTTCGTAGTAGAAATATTTAGTTTCAGTTTTAGCTCGCACCCAAACGAGTGCGAGAGCTACGACTCAGATGAGGTGGATGTGCCCCAATGGCTGAACAGCCATTTCTTCAGAAAAATCTTGACTCAGTATTTCAAGATACCTGAACTGAGATTCGTCAATGTAAAGTTCTTTCCAGCCAGTGCCAAGGGAGATTATTATATGAGTGTGATGTTTCGAGTCGTCGTTGAATATGAAATATCAAAGAATGATGATGCCTCAAAGATATTCCTAATTAGCAAGACAATGCCCGAACAGGAGGGTCCAGCGAAAGAGCTATTAGACGAATCGCACATCTTTAAGACGGAGATTGAAATGTTCGAGGAAATATTGCGAGAGATGGGAGATAATACTTCATTTGGTGCTTCCTGTATCTATCATAGCTTGAAGCCGCAACAAGTTATGGTGTTTGAGGATCTGTTACCACTCGGCTACGCCATCGTTCGAAGATTTGCCAATGCAGAGGAGCTACAAGCAGCGCTAACAAAGCTGGCCAAGTGGCACGCAGTTAGCTTCAAGTTGCTTAAGGAACAAACCAAGCTGTTCGGTCATCTGCAGTATGACATTAGCACTCTGCCGAACATTTTGAAGCAACCCTATATCACGGAAGCCTTAAGACACTTCCGGAATATGCTTGACAATGTAGAGAGATTGAGACCCTATCGAAAATACTTTGAGCCAATCCACAAAAAGGGAAATCCAGAACTGTGTGAATATTCGACGTGAATACCGCGACAATCGCCAAGAAAACGGCTACTATATGCTCTGCCATGGAGACTTTCATCTGCGTAATATAATGTTCAGAGGCGTCGAGTGTTTGCTACTTGATTTCCAGATGGCCCACGTGGGATCCATGACCAGTGACATAATATACGCTATGTACGCGCTGTTCGATGCGGAGATACTTAGAGAAAAATCGGATGAATTGATTTACAACTACTTTCAAACCTTCTTGAATACCCTCAACCAGATTGGCTACCACTACCAGCTGCCCAGCCTGATTGAGTTTCGGCACCAGATGATTAAAAAAGAGATCATGGTGAGAGTAATTGAGTATAATATAAATAATATAATAAAATGAGTACAATTCTATCTTTACGACGACCTGGAAGAGATGCTTCCGCGTATATTGCACCTAGGCTACTTTGAAAAGACCTAAAGCATATACTTGTGGGTGCATATAGACAGCCATCAATCCACTGTTAACTAGCTTTCATATTGCAAACGTAGTTTGAAAATTATCTTTTAATTGCGTTACCTTCTTATATTTAAATATATATGTGGGTGGCTGGCGATTAAGTTCAATTTAATTTAGTCATAGATTATTCCATTCATTAAAACGATTTACGTAAGAAGCAAGAGCAGTTCGTTAACTAATAGTCTCTGTTTGCTACAAACGTATTTAATCTTGATATTCTAGATAAGTCTTTCGCATATAAAGATATGATAAGAAGCTACGTCTAAGCTATAACCAAATAGCAAACGTAGAACCCCTTGACATTTAAGATTTATTTTATTTGCTTAGCTTATTAAAATTTTTTTATAAGACTTTTTGCTTATAAGATAAGTTTTCATCTTTAGTTGGCTATCAATAGAATTAGTAGACGGATCTACCATAGTACTACTTCCTGGTTTTGACTGAAATAAGTTTAAAATGAAAGGAACAGATAAATTATTTTATAATCATTATTTATGACATTTACACATTAGGCTGGATGATATGATATTTATACATGTTATATAAATCAGTCAAAATATCCAAATTTTTCAAATTTGGCCAGCAAAAACTTGACATCTTCAACATAGTTGTCCTGGAAAAATAGCTTTTTGCGGACATCACTTTGTTGCAGGACCTCAGTAATATCCACGTTTGCTCTAATACCATGCACCAGGGGTAAAAATGCGAATATGAGAAACAAATCTGTTATGATAAAAAAAATTTAATTATATATTGAAACTATTTTAATTTTTACTTTGAGGCCAAAACATACCGTAAAAATTGTGGCGTGTCATTTGCCTCTGAAACTCCGCGAAATTCGGTAGTTCTCCTTTGTATCCAATTTGTTTCAGTGTTTGAACAAAAGTTGAGAAATAAAACTCGATCAACTCCTCTAAGTTGTGCTGACGATTCTCTGGCGACAACAGCATGTAGGTCGCATAGATCAAGTCGATGGTTATGGGACAGATGTTGCATATTTGGTAATCAATCAACATGCAGTCCTCAATACTTTGATCCGATGTATTGTGTTTAAACATCATGTTACGCAGATGAAAATCGCCGTGGCATAGTACATAGTATCCATTGGGTTGTTTATTTTTGCGATACTCCTCCACAATATCAACGAAAAGATTCATATAGGTGTTCGCTATATTCCTAAAATACGGCCTGTACTTAGCAAACTCTGGCCTTGAATCGAGCAGTTCCAGGAAATTGGTCAGACCCGATGTGATAAACGGATCATTCAATATGTTTGGTATTTCGCAAATGCCATATTGGAACTCATTCAGAAAGTCAGGAGTCTGGGATAAAATAGATGATTATCATTTGCTTTTCATCACTCCTGGCTGACTCACCTCCCTTAGAGTCTTTAAGCTAACTGCATGCAATTTAGCGAGCTTCGTAAATGCGCCCTTTATCTCCTCGACCGTTGCTTCCCGATCTCGTATAACAGTATAGCCCTGCGGCATCAAATCCTCAAAAATAATAACTTCACGTGGCTCTATGCTGTGATAGATACAGAGCGTACCAAGTCGACTCTCATCCCCAGACGCCTTCAGAATCTGCTCGAATCTGGGCAGCACCTTGGTATACATGCCAATCTCGGTCTTAAAGAGATGGGAGTCCTTAAGCATTTCCTTCTTATGTCCCTCAGCTTCCGGCATTGTCTTGATGATCAGGGACTTGGAATGTTTTCCGCTTTGTGTGGTATACGCCACATTACCTCGGAACATAACGCTTGCATAGTGATCACCCTTTGCACTCGCCGGAGATAGATTTACACTAACTACCTTCAGCTCAGGAGCATTCTCGTATTTACTCAGCGCATTCTCCAAGAACTGCGCACTTAGCCAGCCGGGTGCTACCAACTCATCGGCATTGGCGTCAATATTCTCGTTTGTCGATGTCATTATATTTGCAATGTAACTATACTATGATTAGAATTCCAAGCGAACGAAACAACGAATCAACTGAAACTGAGCTTCCGCATAGCGATCAAGGCTATTTAAACGATTCAGCCAAAAGCTTTACATACCCACTCTATCTTACTAATACTGAATAAACCGCATTTTGTTCTGATATTTTAAATTGCATATTTCTTTTGAGTCGCTATTAATATTATTATAGTATACTAAGTATACATACAACTAATTAAAAAATAAATAAAAATAAAAGTGGACGCCTATAAATAGTTACTCAAGTTGAAGCCTATTATGTGAGTATCTTGAGTATCATTTTTCAATCAGATATTTAAATTCTATAAAAAATGGTTATAGAAATGGTTAATAAGAATAGGCCCTAGTTGCTGTCTGAAACATTTTTTTATATTTTCACAATTATATATTGTATATTCATTACAAACAACTTGAAAGCACTTTATAGTTGTGTATTGATAAGATAAACTAGAAAAATTTCAAGTACCTGACCTAACGCTATTATTTATTCTTGACTCTAAAGCTCTTTATGCAGTTCTGCTACAAGCTTTTCACTAATATTTGAAAAAAAAAAAACTGCAAAGCTTAAAAGCTCATCGAAAAAGGCATTTCATGATTTTCTAAAATAAAGCAATTCAAGTACCACACAATAAAAGGTACTACCATATGTCTTCCATGTATTTTTAATTAATATGTGTTTGATATTTTGATAAGCTTATATATCTCATTGATAGATTTCGTGATATTATCATCAAATAGATAATGCAATTGAAGTGCATCAGTAAGAACAAATCAACTTTTGCATAGTCTAATGCAAGTGCCTAAATTCATGGAAATGCTTGCAACGAATTAACCATACATACATAGATAATTGTTTTTTAATTGGATATTCAGTAAGAATGTTTATCATATAGGTATATATACATATGTATATGTATAAATAATCATGTAATTGAAACGGACTAATTCAAAATAGAATAAATTAAAATAGATATTAAGGCAACTATGCCTGAACTTATATAAAACATATTCAATAACAGGCTTTAATTATATTTTCTGAAAATTCTTTAAACAAATTAACGCTTTATCGCAAATTGTTATCGGTCCGATTCAACTATCGATAAGCAGCAAGTATAAAAGCTATCGCAGACATATTCTCTCAAATGGATGTTACATTGGAGAAGAAACTGCAAGGATTTCAACTGGTAGCGCAGGAAAAGGTTTGTGTGCAGCAATTCATTTATTAGTAAAAATCCGAAAATATAAATTATTATGTGGTCGCTGCAGTTGCAGGCTATACTATGTTCCATACCGGGCAAGAAAGAACTCATCTTGGAGCCAGAACTGATCAAGCCGCTGGAGCACGTATGCACCGCTTCCTGGCTGAAGTGAGTATGACCACAGGAAGCAATTAGCAGCTGTCTTTAACACCTCACTTCCTACAGGTTGAAGGGAATCCAGCGTATTTACAAGCACGATGCGAAACAACGTCTGCCCCGCGCCGACGACCAGGTGCACATTTATATGATTCGTAGTCTACTGGGCACCTATCAAACGCTGCTGCGGCAACTGCAGCCACTGGCAATGCAGACATCTAGTGAGTCACCGGACTTGGAATTGCGTGCATTTCACATCATTTGCGTGCCCAGCTGCTATGCCTATTTCCATGCGCTGCTCGAACAGGCGGGATTGTGTGGCCTGGTGCAGCTGCATCATTACAATTGGGATTTTATATATCTGGACCAAGGTGTGCTTAGCCTAGAGCTACCGAATGTAAGTTAATCCATTAATTGACAACCAAATTATAATTCCCATTCCCACCCGCACAGCTCTATGAGTGCCTCTATCTGCAAGGCAACAGTTCTGCGTTGTCTGCAATGGCGCAAAGCTTGCGTCTGTTGCAAATGATTTGCGGCCAACCTGCTGTGACGCTCACCTTTGGTAATCACTCGACGCAACTGATGCATTTGCTGCAGGCGCTGGGCACAGTTCCTCAGTCTCCTAACCCACCCGACTTTGGTGCCTGGCTAATAATGGACAGAGATAAGGACTACGTATCGACATTGCTAACGCCTGCCATTTATGCTGGCCTGCTTTTGGAGGTGTTCCAGCTGCGTGCCGGCGAGATTGTCGTAGACAATGCCAACAACAAAATACGCACTCAAAAATTGCACCTGCTCCAGGGCAAAACTGAATATGCCACCAATCAAGGCAAGCCCAGTTGCATCCGTCTAAACTCCGCCTGTGATGAGATCTACGGCGACAATCGATACAAACATTTTGCGCAAGCCAGCAGCTTGGTGCGCGCCCAAGTGAAGGCATTGGGGTTAGAGCTGCAGAAACTCAACGACATGCAGCTGGAGGAAATGCACGACTATGTGGCACGTAAACTGCCCAAGCTAACAGAGCTGAAGGCCAAAGTATTGCGACATCTGAACGCCTCTGAGATTGTCATACAAATGCTGGGCAATTTCCGCCGGCTTCAAACGCTTGAAGAGGACATCCTCAATAATGTATCACGCAAACGCTTGCTTACCGAAATCGATGAATTGCTGACAACGGACGGACAGCGTTACAATACATTGCGCTTGCTCTGCCTGTTGCATTTATGCGCAGGCGTTGCGCCCGAGGAGCTGCAAAGCTTTGCCCGGAATTATTGCAACATGTTTGGCCATCGAGAGCTGTGCGTGTTTCAGCAACTGGCACAGGCAGGCCTGTTACCGGTACTTCTGCCGGAACGCAAGACCTCTGCCAAACTGTTGTCCAACTTGCCACTGCCCAAGTTTCAACAAACCGAATTTCAAGCCAATGCCAACCGCCTGAAACTGTTGACGTCATGTGCGGACGCGGAACAGCCTGCAGCGGCTGGCAGTGCCAGTGGTCATCCAGCTATCAAGTCCTGCCCCAGCTTTGTGTTCAATGGAATGTACATACCGCTCGCAGCACAGCTCTGTTCCATGCTCCTCAATGCTACCAGCAGTGAGCAGCTGGCCACAAAGCTGGCCATGATCGAAGGCCTGCAGGTGCACGTGGGCGCACAAGCTAGCACTCCCAAAGCCTATGCGGCACACTTAAAAACGGCATCAACGGAAAATGCAGATGTCTTTCCCCTGCGCCTGCGCAACTTGTTTGTGTTTGTGGTGGGAGGCGCGAATTATGCGGAGATTGCAGCCTGTGATTTTGTGAGCAAACTAACTGGCGCCCAAATAACTATTGCCTCGGATACCCTACTGGCGGGGAGCGATCTTATCGCTGCTGCCTTCAATCACTGAATCTACAACAATCAAAGTTTATATGTTTATATTTTTGTAGTAAATCGTTTCACTTATTATAACTTATTGTTATATTTGTCAGAAAATTGATCAACTTCCTTAGCACACAAATGGCCCTTTAATAAAGGGAATATATCATTTGCTTTTCATCGATTTCCGCCCGTCATGCCAGGCACTCGATATAGAAACTCCCCATCATCATCGTAATAGGCATCCTCTATGCGATATGTGGCTCCTTCTCGATATAATTTGCGCGGTATAACTATGCGGTCCTTCACTTTGCTCATCTCATATTTACGCTGATCCTCAACACTGACCACAATTTCAGTGCGCTCAAATTTCTGCACAAAACTAGATAGCACACCCGTTCCGCTGGGATTAGGCAGCGGCTGCTCGAACAGAATTTTCTTTTGCTCCTCCTGAGGCACTAGCCGTGACTGTCTTAGCTCCTGCAAGCGCATATTGCGCTTGTTTTGTACTTTGTCCAGCAGAAAAGTTTCGTCCTCAGCTTCAGAAGGAGGCATTATCCTAGTCTCTAGTTGTTGGATAGGTTTCCCGGTTGTGAGTTGCTTGTTGGGCTTGCTGCCGAGCAAGGCGCGAAATTCTGTTTTTTCGGGTAATGGTAGCTCCGGCCGCGTTGGCCACTGCTCTGGAGACAGCTGTTGAAGATCTTGTCGCTGGCGCTCTGCAAATTTTTGCAGATGCTGCAGCAGCTCAGCCGGCAGATCGGTGCATTTGCCAGAGCGTAATCTTGACCAATTATTCATGACGCTGGCATCATGGGAGCGTATGCGTTCCACACTCTGTGGCCGCCATTTGGAGCGCAACACTTTCTGTACAATGTCTGGAGTGGCCGGAAAACTCTCAGCCAGCCGCTCAACGCTCCATTCCTCTGCATCGCGCTCGTGAAGTAGACGCATTTGCTCCTTTTCTGCGTACAGCAGGAAATTTGGCAGCTTGGCATCACGGAAATATTTGTGTTTAATCATAAACTGGCGTACACGATCTCGATGTTGCTGCTGCTGTGCCTCGTATTGACGATGTATCTGATGTGAGGACATAAAATCCGCTTCATTGTCGGCATAATCCTCACTCGCTTCGGACGCCTGTTGTTGCAAATCTTGCAACTGATATGCCATGCCGGGGTTCGCACGGCGTGGTACGCGAGCCAAAAGCCCCCATTGTGCTGTGTATAAGCTTCTTACTATAAGATCTGCTCTCATTTTCCTTTTAATAAAAATCCTGATATTAATTCAGCAGCCAAGATATTATGGTAACAATAGGGTGATTGCGACAAACCAAATTATCGATATATCTATATTTATCGATTAGCACACAGCTGTTTTTCCACTGTCTAATTTCACTCATAGCATAGCAAAATATTTAAGAATTAAACGGTCAGCATAATTTTTTCAGTCAAACAATTCTAATTCACGAAATATTGCTTCCTGGACAGAAAAGTATTAATTTAGCATGTTTTTATTCGATAAGCAGTGATGCCGTATCAATGAATTATTTTCCGGTATTTTTTAGTACTCGCTGGACCGCTTTATTTTGCAACCGCTGAATAATTGTTTACATCGGGATAAATCACATTATACTCTTAAATAAAACTTAAATCTACGAAATAAAGAAGAAACATGTCTACGCCAAATAACGAAAATGGTAGCGGCAATTTAATGGACGAATTTGAAGAAGCGTTTCAGTCCTGTCTGCTTTCGCTAACCAAACAAGAACCCAACTCCGGCACGAACAAAGAGGAAATTGAGTTGGAAGTGCAAAAGACAACAAATCGCTTTATTGATGTGGCTCGCCAAATGGAAGCATTCTTTCTGCAAAAGCGATTCCTTGTCTCCACTCTGAAGCCGTATATGCTTATCAAGGACGAGAATCAAGATCTAAGCATTGAGATACAACGTAAGGAGGCGCTGTTGCAGAAGCATTATAATCGCTTGGAGGAGTGGAAGGCTTGTTTATCCGACATACAACAAGGCGTGCACACTCGTCCTGGCCCGGCCATGATGCCAGGCCCATGTCCCGGCGGTATGCCACCTCTAGGTGGACCGGGACCACGTCCCGGCCTAATGAGCGGTATGCCATCCGGTCAAATGCCTGGAAGCCAGCAGCATTTATTGCAGGCCCAACAAATGCAAATGCGTATGATGGGCAAACTACCGCCTAAGTGATTATTATTATACATATGTAGAATATAATTTATGGATTAAGTCATACAAACCTTTAATAAACAACACTCAAATGCTGCCGAAAATGATGAATCCAGCATTCTGGTCCCATCAATGTCTTGTCTGGAAACTTATCAATAAAATGGAATAAACTTTGTTGATTTTCCTGGAGGACTGATTTGCAGATACAACTAATTAAAAAACGCAATGGATTATTTATCGTATTCTGTGCCATTTATTATTTTTTATTTTACTGCGTGTGTATTTAAATGTTGTAGACCTTAGCAAAGATCGCGTATAATAGCTAATATATCTATGTATATAACTCATTATATGTTTGCTCGCTTATGTGTATGTGTGTGTGTGCATGTATGTGTGAGTGTGTATGTGAATTGGTATCGATATCTAATGTATATCTAAATGTATTAGGACAGTTTTTAACTTAACTGAGGCGTACAAACTATATCAAGTTATGCTTGGGCTATATTCATGAACGCATGAAAACAAATTATTCCTTTTGTTTTTCTTTTGTTTTGTTTTTGTTCTCAATATGAAAATAAAGACGTCAATTAACTAACATTAAATCGTATCGAAAAAAATAAACAACATATGTATATAATGTTGGATTGGGGACAGCACGCCAAGCAATTCATGTAGCAACCGGAATCCCAATTCTACCTTCCCCTCCAGGGCGTGAGTCGATTTGGGTGTGTAAATATGATTGGACTTCGTGAGGATGCAATCTAGTCAATCTCGTATACCTTGTCGGCTTCAAATCCTGGGGGATTGGCAGTGGTAGGCGCAGGTACAGCGCCACCAGCTGGCTGTCCGGTTGCTTGAGTGTAGCCCGCTGCCGATGGGTTTTGATTAGCATAGAGCAAGGGATTCATATACATTCCGCTGGGGTGCACAATGTGCGTATGCAGCTGTAAGAGATCCTTGTACATGGTAGGATCCCCATTGTTCATCTCATTGTACAACTGCTGCAAATAACTTGGCACCAGTTGTATGACTTGATTCTGTGTTAACTCCGGATGATCTTTAGATATCTTCATGTTGAGTAACTGCAATAAGATATCCGAACGGAAGCCAAATATCTTATTGGATGTAACGCTGCCCGACGCATTGCCAAATTGATTGGCCATCTGGACGCCAAAGGCATTGCGATCATAACTCATATATTGAGATGCCTGCACGGCGCGCGTCTTCTCGGCCTCGTATTCGGCCCATGCGGACTTACGCTCCTCTTCAGTTAGATTCTCGTGCTCCTCCTGCTCCAGCAGTGAGTCGTGCTCATGGTACTTGAATATCAATTTCTCATGTTCCGTCAACAGCTCAGCAAACAGACGATCCTTGGGCAGCAGCGGCATCTCGCGCTCAACGCTCGGCTTGAGCTCATAAGTGTACAATTCCATTAGATCCGTTTGATTATAATGCCTTGAGATCTGTTGTTCATCAATCACACGCTTGGCCGTTGCCTGCTTGGCCACCTGACGTTCATAAACCTTCTGCTCCATGGTACCCATGGCTATCAAGCGGTATATATAGCAAGGCTTCACCTGCCCGAAACGATACACACGAAAGATGCTCTGCGTATCGTGCGAGGGATTCCATGAGACATCAAATATGACCACGCGATTGGCGGCCACCAAATTGATACCCAATCCACCGGCACGTGTTGAGATGAGAAAGAGACGGGCACGTAAATTGCTGGCATTATTAAATTTCTTGCACATAGATTCACGCTGCTCCACACTGCAGGACCCATCCAAACGAAAATAATCCTCGCCAGGTGTCCAGCATCCCTTAAAGTTTCCAACATCACCTAAAAAGGAATTGTTAGCTTGTGGAATGAGGAAAACAAAAAAACAAAAGACCAACCTTCAAATTCATAGCCCTTAGTGTTGCTGTCCACCAATGAGAGGAAATGTTCAATGACATCCAAAGATTGTAAGGATTGGGAGAAGACGAGCAGCTTGTCACCAATTGCCTCACACTGCTGCAATAAACGCAACAGAATTAGCAGCTTGGGGGAATGATTGACATTGTTTAGCTCCCTCTCTTCAACGAAAGGCTTCCACCATTCGGAGGGATCATCCTTCTGAACAGCTGCACTACCACCGGCACACTCCACATCCGAATCGCTATCAGCCAAGCCAGAGCGTACACCGTTGCGCGTCTTACGACCCTTTATTTTAGTGCCGCCCGCGGCATCTGAGCTGACCATGGTTAAGCTAGCATCCGATTTGAACGATTCAGCACTCTCTGATGAGTTAGACGCTACATCTTCCTCCTCGGAATCATCACAGATGAAGCCTTCCATTTCATCTGAATCGTCGTTGCTTAGCAAACGCTTTGCAATAACATTATCGCTGTTCACGCGCAGATTCATAGGATGTGTCCAAATGCGACGCAAGTCCTGGAAGTCCTGAAACAGACGTGCTCCCTTGCCGCAAATATCGGAGCTACCCTGATCCCGATGCGTTGTCATATAGTAGCCATATAGCTGCTGCTGCAGCTCCGAAAGTGTCGTATATACGACGTACTCATGCTTCGGCGGTAAATAAGGCGCCAACACAGAGTAATCTCGACGTTGAATACAGCCCTCAAGCAGCTTGTGCAGGATATGCGAACGATGTTTCATCAATCGCAAATCGCGGTCCGTAGAGTCCGTGTACTGGCCATTGCTAATCGGATTTACAAACCGATTCATGTATTCCTTATATGTGCCCAACAAATTTGGCTTCACAAACTGAATCATACAATAGTCTAAATAAAATGAAATAAATAAATAAATTAAAAATATCAATAGAAGTTGGAGATTATCAGTACAAATATTGTATAAATTGGTAGTATATGTCCTGACGAAACAGTAGTACTAAAAGTCCAAATAATAGTTGAAGTAGTTGTAGAAGTATAATTATGGATATTATTTAGTAATATAGCATTAGAAGTAGTAATAATTAATTAGTATTAATAATAGTAGTAGAGATAGTAGTTCTAGGAATATCTGCAGTTACTTACATTCTTTGAGATTATTTTGGAGCGGCGTGCCGGTGAGCACAATACGGCGCTTGGTCCGCATGCGGGTGACCGCCTTGCTAATGGATGTCTTCTCATTTTTTAGCAAATGTCCCTCGTCGCAGACCACTAGGTCGGGGCCTGGGTCGACTAGTGCTTGCTGCAGTTGCTCACGCTGTTTCTTGCGCAAGCCCTTGGCCTTCTCGTTGGCCAATATGCGATACATATCGTAGCCCAGTATACAGACGCCGCCCTCTTCGAACCATTCGTTCAGCTTGAAGATGCGAGTCGGCTTGTCCTTGTAGCGTGAAATGTCATAGACCTCAATGTCGCGCCGATGGGCGAAAGACATCCAATGGACAAACTCACGGGCCCAGTTATTAACGGTGCTCAACGGGGAGATGATCAGCACACGCTCTACGCCCGTGCGTCGCGTATTGACGAGCAGCGTGTGCGATAATGTGACCACCTGCAAGGTTTTGCCCAGACCCATGCAATGGGCCAAGATGCAGCCAGAGCCGGGCTTTTGCTCGCTTTCTTTGAGCGTCTCAAAGCAGGCATCCCACATGAATTTCACACCCTCTACCTGGTGAGGCTTTAGCTTTTTGAGCAGACCCTTGTCCACCTGAAGCAGCGCCTTCTTGGACTCCTCATCAAAGTCAAGGATCAATTCGCTAATTTCAACGCTTTCGGATTTCTCAAAGATGCGATTATAGAGCTTTTGGCGCTCTTCGATGCGTTTGCGACGATCCTCTTCCTCTTTAGCCGCCTCCTTGGTGGTCAAATCCAAATCTTTAGTCTTGATTATTTTGCGTATATGCTTACGCTTGTTCTTGTTCTTCTCATCATCACCATCATCGCTGTCCCCACTAGAGTTATTTTTAATCCGTTTACGTTTCTTTTTCTTCTTCTCCTCGGGCTCGAAGTCGGACGAGTCCTGTGCGGAGCCGTCGTCTTTTTTGCCAAAATTACGACGCTTGCGTTGTGGCATCACCTCACTGGCACTGCTCTGGCCATCTTCGGCTTGTGCGCTAGCCTCCCCATCCTCATCGGAGTTATCTTTATTATCCAGGTCTGATTCGGCTTGTTCCTCATCGGCTGTTTTGTAATCGGAATTGTTATCGCTGGCCTTTCTATTCCGGCGATTGCGCTTCGAGGTGCTCGCCTGTTCCTGTTCTGAATCACTGCTCATCTTGCGCTTTGCGTTCGCTTCCTTTGCAGTTGCTGTTGCTACAATCTCAGATGCTGCACCCTCTGACTTTGCTCGTTCCGATGCAGCACTCTCCGATGCTGCACTTTCGGCAACTGCCGATGATGCAGTTTCCCTTGATATAGGCGCTGCAGTAAGCCACTTGACGCGCTTCAAACGCACCACACAGCGACGCACCTTTAACGTCGGCTCGTCGCTTGTCCCGCTATCGCTATCAATCAGCAGCTTAGAAAGCAAGCTCTGTTTGGTCGCTGGTGGGAGCTGCGGAGCCCGCTCTCTGCTATGATCCGAAGACGAGGATGTGATGCGCCTATTGCGTGTCGATTTTCTAGGACTTACAATTATTTCCTCTTCGTCAGTTAATTCCTCGTCGCTCAGTTCGATAATCGATACGTTTTTATTGCGAGTTTGCCGTGGCGGCAACACAGAGGCTGGCCTTAAAGTAGTATTCGTTCTATTTGCTTGTACGGTTAGTTTGCCGGCGGCGGCGACGGCGGCGTTTCTTGTTGGTCTGGTGCTTGGACTACTGCTTGGGCTGGTGCTGATATTGCTACTGCTCTTCTTGTTTGGTTCTGCCAGCAGTTTCTCCAGTGGCACAATACTTATTTTGAATGCTGGCTTCGCGTCTGCTACGCTTTGATTGGCGACTAGTGAATCGACGGCTGATGCTTTTGTTGTTGCAGTTGGTTCGCTTTTTTCGTTAATGCCATTACTTCTGCTGCCAGTTTTGTTGCTCGCTTCAGTAGTTGCTTTTTTTGTTGAATTCTCGTTGACATTGTTGCCTGTGTCACTTATCTCTGGTTGATCAGTTTCTAAACATTTTTTGCTCTTAGCGTGTGCTTGATCACTTTTGTTGCCTTTGTCGTTGCTGTTAGCTCCGGGGCTGTTACTGTTGCCGTTGCTGCTGCTATTGCTGTTGCTGTTGTCAGCATCAAGTGGATTGATCAAGGTTGCAACAAATGTCTCCCGAGAGTCTGACTTTTCCTCTCCCATAGGTAACAGCGTTTACGAGCTTTGGTGCGCTACGTCTCAAATATCAAAAAAGCTATATCGTATAACAAAATAAATAAGTACAAAACAAAACAAAAAAACCAAAAAACAAAAAGAGAAGAAAATTGAGCAGAAATTAATTGTCTCTTTGTTGCAACCTTTTCTAGGCATACTAAAAATTCAGAGCTGCATTCGCAGCGACGTTATTGTTGCACTATGCTTCTTCTTTCTTCATTAACAATTTTCCTTTCCTTTCAATTTCGATATGCTCTTCTTTTCGTTGGCTTGGATATTTTAAGTACTTTTAACAAGTTAATGCTAGTTTCACTAAAGTTCACTTTTATTGTGTGCCTAAATACGATTGCGACATTGTCTAACATTCAAAATTTGTTAATTTTTCCAACATTCCTCCGCCGCGCTTTTTGGCAGACGCGTACCGCACTCACACACACTTGGCAATTCACGCACACATGCGCATACATACAAACACATGCAATGCGCCACTCACCTATTGCGAATTTTCATTTGCATTTGAAATCCGCATTGCATTTTCAATGTTCACACCCCACATTTATAAGCTTTTTATAAATGTCACTTAGTAATCAAGAACAATTGAAAATGTTTAATGTGATGTAGTAGCATTGGATTGCCAACACCGCCGCTAAAAATTTTATTTGCTGGTATACACAGCACACAAGCACACAGATGTAAATAGTGGCAAAGGCAACTCTAGCGCCGACAGTAGAGATGGACCATATTCTCTTACCGGTTACCTATTCACATCGTGACATTTAATCGTATAGCAAAATACAACTTTTATTTATCCATAAACATTCATAATTAACAATTAATATGCGTTATTTAGAGAGAAAATTATACAACTTTTTCCCATAAATCGAATCACAGATTCAATATGATAAATATATATCAGTGTGTTGCTGTCTTCACTACAATTAAAAAATGTATTGCCTAAAGAACCCTTTAGATTTAGGATTAAGCCTAACTTAGCATAATGGTGACTGTTTCTGATATTAGTTATATGAAATAATTTGATTAAATTGATTGAAATTTATGTCCGTATAGCACCAGCTGTTTATTTTTGTTTTTTTCGCAGTGCTGCCAGACCCTAGATCAAGTGTTGGGCCCTGCCAACACGTGCCGAAAATACGAAGCGAAGAAAAACACCAAAAAACGCACAGAAAACATGCTAACAGCCGAAGAAGCAAAAGTAATAAAAAAGAGGAAAACAAGCAGCAAATATGTTTGATATAACGAGGCAGCGGAAGAGACCAAAATTATAAATCAGTGTAGAGAAAAAATTTGCCCAGTGTGCGAATAGAAGCAAAGCTGCATTCATTAATTGCGTTAATACGACTAAAAAAATCCCCAAGTAGCTATGAGCAACAACAATAGCAACAATATCAGCAACAGCAGCATGCCATACCCGGAATCCGAAGAAGAGGAGGAGGAGCTCAGCGGGTCTTACAACATCAATGACAATGGTGGTCAGTTGAGCGACTGCAGCAGCAGTAACAGCAGCGCCGCCAGCAGCAGCGGAAAAACGGCAAGCAGTTCTAATAACAACTCTAGCGATGATGACGATGACGATGATGATGATGACGCCACGGATCAGGACACGCACACCGATACCGATTCGGATGATGCCACCACCACCCAATCCGATGAGCTGGAGCTGGCGCAATTTGACGATCGCCATGTATTTCGCTTGCCCCGCGGACTCTGTGAAAATGCGCGAATTTTCCATGAATTCTTTTCAGTCGAGACCTGGCAAATGCTTCCCAACAATATGCAGGCACGCCTGCAACCCCTGCTGCCCAGCTATGCAGGGTTTCTGGCACCGGCGCAGGCGGCAGCGGAACAGCAGAGGACTCTGTTGCAACTGTTCAATGGTGGTATTCAACGCTTCGGGCAGTCTCCATTATTGCGGCTGCAACGGCAGCTAGAAGAAGGAAACCTTCGTCCTGATGTGTTGCAACTGCGCCAAAGCATTCAGCGGTCACAAAGACGAGAGTGCCGCTTCCAGAAAGCCGAGCGTCTCAGTCGGCTGGCCAAGGAACTATTTCTATCCCGCGAGCAATTGCTGCAACAGGTCTATACCATGGCCCCACCTTCGACTGATGGTGATACATTTAAGGCCCAGCCACGTCCTCGCAAACGTAAAACGCCCACGCTGAATAGAGAGAATAAGTTCTGCGTGGAGCGTGCACGTAAGCGGTACTGCCAGGAGCTCGTGCAGCTAGCACGTGAATTGAACTTGCAGCCCGGCGACATCAGCGCTGACGAGCAGGACGAAGAAGCGGCACAATTGGCAATCATTGCCGAGGAGCGCCAATTAAAGGTGGAAACGAGTACGCGACCTTCAAATGCGGCGGACAAGAAATGCATTTACAGTACCTTCTTCAAACGCCACCCCGGCCTCGAGGATGAGCAAGTGCTGCGCAGCATGCAGTCGGACAGGATCCAGCCGCTCAACGAGAAAAACTTTAAGAAGTATTTACGCGACTATAAGCGACGGAAACTCCAGCACCCGGTGAGTAAAACCCATGAGAAAGAGAAGTTTGCCTACTGTCAGCGTAGTAGAATGATTAAATGTCCTGATGGTGATTTGCCAATCAATCGCTTATAGGGATTATAACATATATTCATTCATAATTCCTATTTTCAATAGAGAGAAAGTAAAACATGTTTATTTGTTTTTCAGCAATTACCTGACTTTGATACCGCTGACATACGATTGCGTGACATTTGCACACGCGCCCAGTTCGTGGGCAACTTTAAGCCAGGACGCAAGCCCAAGGCTTTGATGGCGCGCCTCAATCAGCAGCAAGTCACTGAGCCTCCCGCCCTGGTGCCTATTGGCGGCAAGGTCAAGCAGGTGGAGCCGGTTACCGAGCTACTCACTGATGAGCCGCAGCAGCTTTATGGGCGCGCTGCGTTCGAGCCGGATGAGGACGAATTGGAGCAGGAATTGCAAGAACAGCCGGAGATAATAAAGCCAATGTCCAAGACAATGGTGCCGGCTGCTGTCGTTGCACTTGCCCAGCAATTGCCAAAACTGGAGCCCATTGTGGCCCGTGCCGTGTTCAGCAGCAACTCACCCCGGGCACTAATCAAGGCCGGTGCCCATATCACTGGCAGTCCCACCCGAGATCACACAACAGCAGTGGTCACACAGCGTTCACATGGCTGCTACTTTTCGCTTCTGCGGGATCTGTTTGTGTCCACGCCACAGCATCGTTTGAACTACCAGGAGCTGCAGTCGCAGCTGCACAAGTGGCGCACAGATAACTCGGCAAGTGGGCTGCCCGACTGGGTGCGTCTGCTGCCCAACGATTGGACGCAGTTACTGCAATCGGCTGTTAGCTTCTTGTCGGGCGACTTTGTTGGGCTGCCTGCGGAATATGTGCCCTACATTGAACACAAAACACAGCTGAACATATACCAGTGGATTGGCGCTGGCCGCGACTCGGATGCGCGCCTTCAAACGCTCTGCCAGTATTGGTTGCAGCAATGCAAAGAGGACACAGCGGCAATGGATCAGTTGCCGCTGCAACAGCAGCAACAGCAACCACATCAACAATTAAATCCTGTTACTGCCCTCGATGTGACGCCCACGCCACCGCCACGTTGCCCCACCAGTTGGGCGGTGCGTGTGGCCACCCAATCGGAGATGCTGGAGTTCCAGCGACAGGAACGTTTGCGCTTCGACCAACCGCATCGCCCCTTCACATATCGCATGCACGGCTACGAGAGCGTTGTGGGTCCCGTGAAGGGCATTTATACGCAGAGCCTGGCCCTAAACAAGGCACGAGGCCATGCCGTCATGGTGGACGACAGGCCGCCTTATGTGACCATCCTGACGCTGGTGCGCGACGCCACCGCGCGCTTGCCCAACGGCGAGGGCACTCGGTCAGAAATATCAGAGCTGCTGAAGTGCTCGCAGTTCATCAATCGGCAGGCGGCAGAGAACGTGCTGCAGACGATCGTAAGCGGGGCGCTGGATCGAATGCATGGTGGCCTAGATCCGTGTGTGCGCTATGATGCACGGCGCAAGATCTGGATCTATTTGCATCGCAATCGCAGCGAGGCGGACTTTGAGCGGATGCACCGCCAGAATCAGACGATTGTCAAGCAGAAACAGCAGCAGCGCAAGCACAATAAGCCAAAGAAGGATGAAGCAGTTGATCAGTGTCCACAGGAGCTGCCCGCCCTGGTGGCAGCTTCCACATCCACAACAAATGCAACATCAACAGTGGCAACATCAACAGCGCCGAATCCCACAGCTGTTATGATCAAGAAGCATGCGCAGTCATCAACGCTACCATTGCAGGTGAAATTTCCGCCAGTGCCGCCGCTCAAATATCATGTGCCGCCCGCCGGATCTGCAGCATCCGGTGGTAATGCTGTTATTTCCTCCCAACAGCTGGCGACAACACAGAAATCTCTGCTCAAGCCCACACAGCGCAGCGGCGTAGTGACGCTGCTGGAGAGGTCGCCAGGATCTGGAACTGTTCAGCTGCTGAAAACCTCACCCAAAGCTCTCCAGCAGCAGCAGCAGCAAGTGGGGCAGAACAGCAGTCCCACGCGTAATACCACGCCCATACTGGTGTCCACGCCCAGCGGTTTACAAACTGTTCATGTGGCCGCCACGCCCAACAAAAAGATGACCATCAAGAAGCCCATTGTCATCAATTCGCCCACGCAGACCCAGGCACCAGCCACAGCAACAGCAGCTTCTATAACGGGCAACTTCATTTTGCCATTGGATCAACAGCAGCAACAACTCAGCCAGCCCAACAAAGCTTCGCCCGCACGCCAACAAATGCCTAAAAATATTATACGGCTGCTACCCGCTAGCGGTGTTACCAGTCCAGCTGCTAGCAAACCCTCGGTTGTGCAGCTGCCCGGAAGTCCGACTGTGGTCAGACCCACGCCACCGGTCCAAATACTTGGACCACGCATGCTCGCACAAACAACAGTTCGCCCACTGCAACAGAAGATCGGCAGCGTTTCCATTGTCAACAGCAAACCCGCGACGTCCGCCAGTGGCGGTACGATCACCAATGCCGCATCTGGTGGCACGCAAACGGGCACGGGCACTGGTACCATTGTAAAGATGTCGCCGCAGGCGTTTGCCACTCTGCAGCAGCAGCAATTGAAGCAGAAGCAACAGCAGTCGCAGCAACCACAGCAGCAGCAACAACAACAACAGCCGCAGCAGAGAATCCTCGTAGGTTAGTGCTTGGGACTTGCCCAATATTTCAATTCATAAATATGTTGCTAATTAATTATCTTCTTTACAGGCAACACAGCAATATCATCGAACAAAAACATTGTGTTCCAGGCGCTTCCAAAAGCGGCACCTAAAATACTCAGCACAGTGACTGGGCAGGCCAAACCATTGGCCACCGCGAATCTCTCGCCGCAGCAGCAGCGCATTGTATTGCAGAGCTTCAAGCAGCCTATATCTACAGCAGCAGCAGGAGGAGGAGGAGGAGGAGCTGGAACTGCTGTCGCTGTTGCTACCTCGCAGGCAACAACGCGTATCATACGCACGAGTCCAGTGGCGGCAACAACATCGGCTGGCACATCCACAGCAACGCAATCCGGTCACATAGTGACGCTGGAGAGTCTGTTGCAGAAGCAAAATGCTGGCAAGCTCATACAGCTAGCGACAACGGCCACCGGTGGCAATGTCATAACGCTGACGCCCAACTCCCAGACCCAGACCCAGCAACAGCAGCAACAACAACAACAACAGCAGCAGTTGGCCACGACTAAGCAGCTGCCGACCACGGCGCGCATTGTTACCGGCGGCCATGCGACAATGGTGCCAAAAATCATAGGCAAGACGACAGTTATGTCCGGAAAGCCGTTGCTACTGACCGCCAAGACGCTAAAGCTGGGCGGCGCTGCAGTGGTTAGCACACAAACGAGCACGGCCACCACGCTGACCACCGGCGGTGGCGTCGCTGGGCTGAAGACAGCGCAAAATATTGTGATTGGCGGGCAGACGGTGAAACTACAGGGAACGGTAAGCATATGGCATGCATTAGTTAACTTCGAGACGCTCCGTAACATGCACATTATTCATTGCAGACTATTCCCTCGCGTAATGCTTCAGGTGGACCTATGCAAACGGTCATCATGGGCAATCAGTTGCTCCGGCTCGCCACCAGCAGCAACACGACCAGCATCAGCAACAGCAGCCAGCCCAGCACGTCCACCGCCATTGCCACTGCTCCCAAAACTCTGCTGATTGGCGCTGGTGCGACGCAGACTCTACGTCTGGGCAAGAATGTGCTACTCGCTACCAGTAGCAGTGGCAGCAATGTGAGCACCACGTCTACGGTGACCACAACCACCACAACTCCTGCCAATAATCTGGTATTCGCCGTACAAAACAATGGCGGCCAATTGTTCTTTACGCCCGGACTGCAGGGCGTCAATCTGAAGCCATTGTCCAACATGAAGGTGATACCCATGTCCACAGCGTCAGCAACCGTCGGCGCCGGCAGTGGCGTTAAACTGAGCAATGTAACGACGGCAGCTGTTGATGCGGTAGCTGGCAAAGCGTTAAACACAAAACTGTTGCCCGCTGCTGTGCTGAAGACGGCAAGTGGAGGACATGGCAATTAAGTGATGGGGCGCATGTGGCAGAGGCTTGTTAAAACTACGTTGTTTACATAACCAGTTGTTTGGATTTACCATTTATCATTTATATATACATATATATAACTATACATAGTAGCTAACATTATGTAATTTACGATTTTAAGCAAAAAGTTTAACATTACAAATTTTGCTTCGTATAATTATATGAGAATTCAGGAGTTGGGCACGTGATTTATATTTCGAAGAAGCGAAACCTGCCTGCCCACTAATTAATATATGATATTAGCATAAATATTGCTGTTATCTAACATCAAATTTGTCTCGCAGTTTAATTTTTATTCTAGGATCTGATAATTACAACTAAATGAAATATTGAATATTCACAGTGACTTGATGGCATAATCTATGTGTGCATGAAGTTTATATTGTTATCCAGTCGTGGCTGCTATTACAGGACTTGGAAAACCTTGCTAACGTGTTTGTTTGTCCATCAGAATGGTGACTTAGTATGCATCTTTAGATGTCGATTAAGTTTAATTTTTAAATCGAACTGCTTTCCGCAAATGCTGCACTGGCACATCGACTTCTCCTGACGTGCACTATTAGAATTGCTTGAACTTTGGCTACTATTGGTTGCATCTGGTATCGGAGTCTTACAAACAGTTGGCGACTCTGGAAACTCTGTTTGGCCGGTTAATATGGAAGATGTATCAATTGCTGGCAGCTGCTCTGACTCAGCGGCCATTCGATGTGTGGACACCACATGCTTCTGAAGTTCATCAGCATCGTTAAATGTGCTCACGCAAAAGGCGCATTGTATCAAATCCTCCGATAGTGGTGGGGCTGGCGTTTCTATTGCCTGCATTAAACTCATTTTGCGCGCCAGTTCTTCTTCGTGATCTGCAAAAAATAAATTATTTATTCATGTATAATAGAATTCAAATAGGTAAATGTGCTGGCTTACCTTGTATATGCCGATTAAGATGCGCCTGCAACTGTCTGTGCTTCATGGCTGTTGGTTGGAAAATAAACATCAATAAGATTTAGCAATAAAATTGAATAAATACTTAGACATACTCTTGCCGCAGAATTCACATTTGGAACGGGTATGGACTGCCAGTTTGTGCTCTTTGAGTGTGTCTTTGGAATTGCAAAAGAAGCCGCAGATCGGGCACTTAAGATGCTTTTGTAATTTGTGCCATTTCATGTGGAACCTGAGCCGCGATTCATGTGCATTGGCGAATTTTTTGCCGCATATGTAACACTCGCAATCCTTAAGCATGTGAATGCGACTCATGTGCTCATTGTGTCGTTCCTGTGTAGCTGAAGCATGTCCACATAGCTTGCAATAGACACCCTGATCCTCAATTGGCGCTGGCAGCGTCACCAACGCTGCGCCGTCTTCATCATCTTCATAGGTAAACTTAATGATATCGTCATCGCTATCTTGCTGCTCATTTGGTGGGGTCGCGCTCTCGAACAATTGGGAGTTGAAGCCATTTGCAGTGGCCAGCACATTGGGCTCGACTTTTGTAAAAGTCGCCTCGTCGGACAAATTACTAACTAACGGCACTGCTGGCTTAAGTTGCGTCTCTTGTGGGACACGAGCCGTATGCTCTTCCTTAATGGGCACGTGGGGTATGTCGAGAGGAGCACAGACGCGTCTGCTGCCATCCTCTTCGCTACCAGCCTCTTCGTCAGAGTCTATATAAATGAACTCACAGTATTTAGTCTCTTCACTGGGCGGATCAATTTCCTTTTTTATCACAAGCCCATTGTGCGCACGCTTGCAGTCCAATTCGTCAAATTGCTGCTGTGTATCCAGGCAGCTGCGCTTAAAGTTTAGCACCTTCTGAAATTCATTAATGCACGCAATGCATATGTACTGTGGCCGACCGTCGTTCCTGTCTACCTGTAGTGAGAGAGAGTTTTTATCATTTGGTTGGCTAACAAGGTGTCTTCACTACTACCTCAAGATTCCAGGCATTCAATTGCTCCACTATTTCTTTCATGAAGCCATTAGATATGTCACCGGTACCAGGAATTGTAAATATTGGCTGTATAACTGCATGGTTGGAAATAAAATAAATACCGCACGTTCGGCATGGTTCAATAATGTCGTCGTCGCCGAAAGTATTTAAATCGCTACAATCCATGCCGTTTCAATTGGTATCCAGGCAACAAACTAAGTCATCAATAGGAATTCAGAAAATAATAGCAATCTAAATGCACAACGATTCGTTACAATATGACAGCTTACTGAATGCTGAAAAATATCACAAATTTTACTCCGTACAATAATACCAACAAAATAGCAAAAGTCCTATTTTTACCAATAATTGATATTAAAATACCAAACAGACTACTATCGTAAATCACGAAATCTGTTTACGCGATTGTGAGCAGCATGAAGTTGGTAGCGTAACAGCAACATATGCGCTCTCAGCCCTCGTACAAATGCATAAAAAAAAATAAATAGAAATCATCACGCAGTTAAAAATTTTTGTGCGTTGGAGTGGAGGAAACAATTGAATCATTGTTGGGCTTAAAAGTGCAACGACATTATTATGAACTTAACGGAGCAGAATCCGTATGGCAATGGCCTGCTTTATGCTGGATTTAACCAGGACCAAGGTATGTACATCTTACTTTGTTTGTTGTTTACTTATTCACGAACACGAACTTTCAACGTGCAATAAACATACTATATGTAAAATATATATACGTTTATAACCATTCACCGATCTAATTGCGCCGCAGGATGTTTTGCTTGTGCCACAGACACCGGGTTTCGAGTATACAATTGTGATCCACTAAAAGAAAAGGAACGCCAATACTTTCCCGAAGGTAAGTGTGTGTATGTGAAATAGATGTTCTGCAAAGTGCATACATTGATAATATTATCACACAAATCTATCTTGTGATGCGCTTAGCTGAGAGATTTTTTTTATTTATCAGTTTATTGTCTCAATTTTCACATGTAAGCTACCAAAATTGAATTGGTAAAAGTATTATTTTAAAATTAATTACCTTCAAGTCTATCTCTCTTCTTTTACGAAGATATATTAACTAATTGTGTGTGAAAACTTTCCACAATTCCCCAACAATGACTCACAGTTTGCTTTGTGTTTTGCGTGTTTCAGGTGGCCTCAGCCATGTTGAGATGCTCTTTCGCTGCAATTATCTGGCGCTTGTCGGCGGCGGGATTCGGCCGCTGTATCCGCCCAATAAGGTGATTGTCTGGGATGATCTCAAGAAATCACCGGCAATATCTCTGGACTTCAATCAGCCGGTGCGAGCAGTGCGCCTGAGACGGGATCGGATTGTCGTCGTGCTAGAGGGCGTCATTAAGGTGTACACATTCACACAGCAGCCACAGCAGCTGCATGTGTTCGAGACCAGTGCCAATCCGAACGGCCTGTGTGTCCTCTGTCCACACAGCAACAAAAGTTTACTCGCATTCCCTGGCCGGCGTACCGGTCATGTACAAATCGTTGATCTTGCCAATACCGAACGAGCCCCATTGGAGGTGATTGCCCACGAGGCGGCCATCAGTTGCATTGCATTGAATTTGCAAGGCACTCGATTGGCCACCGCCGGCGAGAAAGGCACATTGATACGCATTTTTGATACAGAAAACGGGAAGAAGGTGTCCGAGCTGCGACGCGGCAGCAATCATGCAAACATATTTTGCATCAACTTCAATCATCAGTCCACAATGATTGTTGTGGCCTCGGATCATGGCACCATTCATGTCTTCAATTTGGAGGACAACAAGCAACGTGAATCATCGCTTCCGATGATACCCAAGTATTTTTCCAGTCAATGGAGTTTCGTGAAGTTCTCCATACCGCAGGGACCTCGCTGTATATGTGCCTTTGGTGCCGATTCCAATTCGGTTGTGGGTGAGTCTCATTTCAGATACATTTAAAGAACTCAAAACAATGTTGTTTTTGTTTCGTTTAGCTATTTGCGCGGATGGTCACTACTATAAATTCCTATTCAATAACAAAGGTGAATGCAGTCGCGATGTTTGTACGCAGTTTCTGGAGTTGCAGGATGATGAAACTTAAAGTTGAGCAATAACCATTTGGCGGCTGTACAAGCATATTAATATCTTCATATATATCTATGAGAACCGTGTTATACAATATTATATTTAAGCATGCTTTAAATCTACGTTACAAGTCGAAGTTCACATAAACCTGTAGTTAACAATTGTGATTATTAATCGACTAATCCTTTAGCTGGGAACCGTTTGTAATTAGTGCTACATTATTTATTGAATTCAATGTGAGTAAGGGCACAATTTCCTCTAGACGAAGATATCTTTACTTCTGTTATTTACTCGAATTGAACTGATCACGCTTGACATATCTGCAGAGTTCCACTCTATTGTATTAATATACCAAAATTCAATGCACTTCTCCGCTTTTACATTACACTGCCTGCTGTAACTTTGTGCACACTATTCCTGCTGTACACGCAATTAAGTCGAAATTGGGTGCTCACATTTTGACAAAAATATTAAAGGGCGTTTTACAAAAATGAAGATAAGAACTTGATCAAATTGAGCATATGAAGAGGCAGATGATCGTAGCAATGGAACAATCCTTGAGACCACCCTGGCGCAAAGCTGTTGACAGTTCGCCCCTGCTTCGATTCCACCAACAGTCGTAATTAGTAATACTTTATTTCTTAAATAAGCGGTACATGGATCGAATCGCGTTGGACTGTAAGCTTACGAGATTTAGCATTCTGGAAAATAGTAAGTGAAAGACAGTGAGAGGCAATGAAAGATGATCATTCCTATAGCTCTAATTGTGGTATTCGCTCATATTTTGGGTGAATTCCTGGTCACAGATGGCGCAGTTTGGCGCATACCACTCTATAGGACTAAAATACCCATATACAAGCGTGAGCAGCCGACAGTCCCCAAAAAGCCGCCCGACTACTGCCAGACAAGACTCTGTCCGAAAGGCGTACGGCACATTTGCTGCAATGTCAACTTTGTAAGTTTCACATAACCGCACTTGAATCCGATAGTCAACTATGATATATGATTTCCACTTTACAAAAGTGGGGCGACAACTGCCCCAAGCCACGAAAGGGTATCAACATGAATATTCACGGAGCCAAAATCCTGGCGGCGCACAACGTGCTGCGCGCCTCTCTGTCGGGCTCGCCGCAACGGCTGCCCAAGGCCAAGCCCATGCCGCTGCTTCGCTGGGACAAGGAGCTATCCACGGTGGCCATGCGCGTCACAAACTTTTGCAACGCTGATGAGTTTGCCAAATGCGTGAATATTCCACGATTCTTGAATGTGGGGCGTACCTCGTACACCTTCGAGACTTCGGAGCAGACAATATCGTCGTTCATATACGTCATCGATAAATTCTTCAAGAACAGCTTTGCGGAGTTTCCCATTGAACTCGTAACGAAATATGAGGACACGGGCAACGCGTCACACAGGGCATTCGCACATCTGGCCTACTACAAGGCCACTAAAATGGGCTGCGGCATGCTGGTGCACAAGGTGTCCAGCAATTCCACTGTTTATGTCACCTGCCTGTATGACAATCAGGCAAGGCCGAACCAGAAAATATATGAGCTTGCGACCAGCACGGGATAAGTTGCGGCCGAGAAATGAATTCAATAATAAAATAACAAACAAATGCGACATTTGTTTAGCCAGGATTTAGAACTTATTATGGTATTACTTTAATGCTTAGGGATATCACTGGAAAGGTAACAAGAATGACTTCAGAGATGTGTCGTATTGTTGGTCTCCTCGAAGGCGGGGTTGCTGACGCCGGCCAAGGCAGCGCCTCGGTCTGTCGGCCGCTCCGGCTGCGCCGCTGGCACGAAGTCGCTCTGCTGCAACTTTATAATCTTAGCCTGCTGCAGCTGGCTGACCGGCATGTGCAGATCCTGTAGGTTGTCCAGCTGGATGGCATTCGCTCCGTTTACAGGCGGACTCTGTTGCTTTTCGGTTGCGTGCTGTGGCGGCTGCTTGCGCAGCAGATTCATATCCGATTTCTTGGAGAAATGCGCCTCGATTTCCTGCAAGAAATTAAATTGAGATGTGAGGCCCGATTCGTTCGACGATTGTTTCGCTAAGTTCTGCTTACCGCCAGGGTGCGGCCCTCCGTCTCAGGCAGCGTGTAGTAGAGCACGACTGCGCCAATGAAGGCGACGCTGGCATAGAACGCAAATGTGCCCGGCAACGTCAACGTGCTGAGCATCAGCAGGAACAGCTTGTTGGCCAGAAAGCCAAAGACGTAGCCAACGCCGCCGGCAAAGCCGGACGCCATGTTGCGTATGTCGGCGGGGAACACTTCGCCAATGAGTATCCAGGGTATCATGCGAATGCCCAGATGGGAGAAGAAGGCGGACAAGAGCAGCAGTATGAGCGGCACCCATACCAAATAGTTGCGCTCCTGCTTGGGCACAGTCAGCAGCAGATCTTCCGAGATGGGGGGCTTCGATGGCGGAACTTCGCTGCTGACGCCGACAGGAGCAGCAGCCGCTGGCTCGGGCAGCAGCGTTGTCACTTCCGATTCGTCAACGTTGTGTGGACTCAATGTCGTGTCCAATTCGCGTTTGATACGATTCCATGGCTCCATTGTCGTATCAAATTGTTCTATCGTGGTCGTATCCAGTTCTTGCAGCATCGTGGTCAGTTGCTGCTCCAGCTCATGCTCATGCTCTCGCTCCTGCTGCAGCTGGTGCTGATGCACCAGCTCATCCTGATATTGATTCTCAAATATCTTCGATATGTTGGCCTGCGATATGATGCTGCCCTTCGGCACAATCGCCGAGGCGTTCACCACGACATTGTTGACCGCAAAGCCGGGCACATCGTTCAGGAAGTGCGCATAGGTCGCGGTGCCTAAGAAGCACAAGCCCGTGCCCACTGTCGAGATCAGCACAAGCGGCCGCTTGCCCGTGAAGTGGATCAGAGCGACGCCCAATATGGTGGACAGCATCTCGGCCACGCCCAGCAGGATCGTGGCATGGTATTTGTTCATGGGCGCCTTCAGCGTGTGGAAGATCTGCACGGCATACGTCTGCAGCGGCGTCTTGCCGGAAAAGTGGCCCGTGAAGAAGGTGAACGAGACGAGCATGAAGGGCACCAGGAAGGTGCGCTTGCGCCACATCCGCAGCCGATGCTTCAGCGTGCGGCGCTGGCCAGGCAACGCCCCACTGCCCTCGGTGGCCTCCTCGATGGCCTTCTGGGTGACCAGCTCATCGTAGAGGCGATTGAACTCCGTCTCCACTTGATGCTCCGGCACCCAGCCACGCAGCCACTGCAGCGACTTGACGGCCTCCCGGTATCGCTCCTCCCGTATCAGCCAAATGGGACTCTCGGGCACAAAGCACAGCATGACTATCGTAATGACCGGGAAGGCGGCGCTCACCGCCGCCACGCTGCGCCAGTCCATGAGGGAGCCCAGTATGAACTGTACAAAGACGCCAGTGATGACACAGGTGGTGCCCAGCGCCGACAGAATGCCGCGATACCTCGGCTCCGTTATCTCGGCCACATATGTCAGCACCTGCAAAAGGTGAAGATCACTTAGTGCATTGACATTAAGTGCCACCAGCCAAGCAAGCATCGACGTCTCAAGGAGACCTTCGAGGCCATCTAACAATGACAATTCGAACATGCACCGTGCACTGGGCTCCAATAAAAGCGCCAAGCAGTAGCTCTTAATGTCTCTCTAAATGGGAATCTGCAGCAATTACGTTTTGCTGGCTGCGATTTGGCCTTGTGCCTTAGCATCGATTTCGTGTTACCAACTTTAATTTGGCCTTCACAAATTAGACGTTTGTATTGCTTTTGTAGTGTTTGCTCGATCTTAAAACGATTTAAAGATTTATTAACTATCATACTTTTAGCTGCTAAACTTAAATCAAGCTAATGAGAAAAAAAAAACAACTGATAAGGCAAATTTTTCGAGCCACATGCATTAGACCAGGCTCAAACTTTTGACTTACCAAATAATTGGAAACGGCTTCCACAAAAAAGTCAGATTATCCTAAATAATACCTTTACTGTTCCTAACGTCTTTAATATTATACATTTATTAATAATTTAATTCCAGTGACTCGAAATATGAATAGATCAAAAATGTCTATGCTAGAAAAATGTCCTTAATTGTTCGTCCATGCAATTGCTTCTGCATTGAAACTTTTACAAATCGAAAATCTCTACATAAGATTTGATAAATCCAAAGTAAAATAATTAATAAATATTTGTGCATAAAAATTATTCAATTCGATTGTTTTCGGAGCGTGAACGAATATTATGCAGTCGGTTGCGTCCAACTGCAACGCTCATTTATATACATATGTGTGTATATAAATTTTGTTATTTGTTTACTTTAGCAAGGTTGAACATAATACTTGTGGCTAGATAAACTCAATTAGTTGGTTAGTTGGTTAGTGGGCTGACTTTTGAATGGATCGTGATCACTTACGGGTGCTTCCATCAGGCCGCCGCCGAGACCAGCCAAGCATAAAGCCGCATACAGATGCTCCGTGCGCGTGGCGAAGTGAAACATAAGCCAGGCAGCCAGTATGGGCAGGTTGACAAACTGCAAAACGTAATCAGACACAGACACAAAGATACAGATACAGATGCAGATGCATTAGCACACACAGATACGACAAAGCAAGCAGCAGCATAATTGCAACATGAAATCAGTTTGCAGTTCAATGCTTGTAAGGTGTTAGGGATACGCACCTGCATGGCGCGCCGCTTGCCCAGGGGCTGGGTCAATAGGCCAGAGAAGAGGCAGCCCAACGGCACACAAATCAAATTAATCGAACCTGCGTAAAGTCAATTAGTTGTCGCACGCTCAATGCAGCCAGGTGATGCCGTCGTACTTACTGAACCATGATATTTCCTCTTTGTTAAGCACTATCCCGCTGTCCGACCCCTCTCGGCGTCCCTCGCCCCCCTGAATGGCTGGTATAACAATTGTGGGAAAGCCGAGAGTCATGCCATACCCTGCATTACGAATGGAATTACGCGTTTATTGAAATTGAAAATTACAAATAGAAAATATTTTCATTTTGATTAAGCCAAAGTCAGGGAATGAAGTCTTCAAATTCCACATCTTAATTGTTTTTAAAAGAGAACAATTGCCGGATTTAACAATAGATAAGCTAGACACTTAAAAGCGAAAATGAATATGATTTTGATTATCGTGAGTTTTGCATTGTTCAATGCGAATTTGATTATGTCATTCCCCGCTTAGCACACAGTGTTTAATATGTACATATAATTAAGAAATGCGAGTATTACAAGTTATTTACCGAATAGCAATAGGTTCTTAATACTAACAGCTAGAAACTGTGGCAGAGCCCGGCGAAAGTTGCTTACTTCCACATCGATAACGCCGGAAATGCGACGATTGTTGTTGTTGTTGCCATTGTGCATGAATAAAGGACGATCATTCAGTGCGCTATAAATACAAAAAATGCAAAACGAAAAGAAAACAAGTTTTTAGTTAGTACAATTTAATTGCAGTCATTAGTTATTTACACAGTCATTCTGTTTACCCATTTTTATCAGCTGATACAGCTGCTTTGCCATTGGACATCGTGACGTATACTTGATGTGGTATGCGTTTCTCTTTTCGTTGTTGCTTTGCTTTCAGTTGCGTTTGTGCTCATCCGTTATTTTGTTTGGCATTGCACACTAACTGCTATCATTCAATTGAATAACATTTGAAATGGCGCCAAAAATGCGACAGAGCCAACTTAACGAATCGTTGAATTAACGCATCAAACCTAACGTAACGTAACGAAATCGAAGCTAACGCAACACTAGCTAGCACGTTTTCTGTTGTGATTCTTAGGTTTTTTAATTGCAAACGGCTAATTGCCAAAAATTCAATTCGATGCGATGCGTCACAGCGATTTGTAATTGGCTTTCTTTGACATATTTAACGTTTGCTGTTTTTTAATTAATATGCGCCTACGACCTACGCGCCGTGGTCGTCATTATTAATATTTATTTGACACAAATTGTTGTTACGTGTTAATATGTGTAATTGAATTGAATTTTGCCTTTTTTGGGGAATGTTGCAATGAACTTATTAGCAACTTTGTATTGTTAAAAAAAAAATTATAATAAATAAAAAAGGAACAACCTGTTTAATGCTTAACTTTTCAGCGATTATAAATTATTCAGTTATAAATATTCAGTGTTCGCGGAGTAAAATTTGCATACATAATATGAACATTATTATAAAAGTCTTTATAAGTTGACAACTGAAACTGCGTTGTATATATATAGAGAGTGAGAGAGAGAGAGGGAGAGAGAGAGAGAAGCTTGCAGGTTCAGCGCACTGAAATCAAAATTCTCTTGTTTTTTAAATTTTCGACAATCATTTATCTTTCCTCTGATATGAGCATTATGTAGGTCAGGGTCGGCAGGAGACCCTTAAAGACACACAATGAGCACATAAACCAGTTAGCAATTCGAGACGATGGCAGTACCTTTAGCCAATAATACGATAGAGTTTAACATAAATTGAAATTGCTATAGTTTAGTAGGCTATTCCATGAAGGTTTATTTGTTTTGCAAGCTATTTCTAATATTTCTGAGTGCCAGCTGGTAGGTACTCTCAGGTGTTATGTGGTACCATCTCGGATGAAGGCGTCAACAAAACTTTTTAGCAATAAGTAAAG